TTCTTCCATTTGTACCCTCACTATTTTATCAAAAGTTCATTTTCACCTTTTATATTATAATGATTTAAATTAAAATAATTGTGTTTTAGTTGAGGGAATAAGAAATGTTAGTTATTATTTATACCGAACAAATACACGATGCAATCCATCTTCCATTTTGTTATTAGTTGAATATTTTGACTCATTACATTGAATTTTTTTATTACTTTTAAATTATTATTTTAATTATTTATTATTTGAATTTTTATTATTAATGTATAATTCTTATAAATATGATAATGAGTGATTGAATATATTTGTTCATTATCAGGCATGTCATAGATTTTAAGAGAGAAAAAAAGAGAAGAAAGTATGCATTTTATTGAAATATAAGATCAAATTACAATATTATTATTTTAGATATTTAAATTTCTTTACAAAATATATATATAAGTGTTTAATATATTTTTGTATTATGTTTAATTTTATATTTATATTTAAAATATTTTGCATTTAATTGTTAATATGTTTATTTTTATTTAATAAATAACATCAGTAATTTTTTTTAAATTTAGAATATCCTTTTATGTCATTTTGTATTTATCAGCTAGTGTAACCGTTAATTTACCAAACACTCAAATTAGCTTATCAGCTATAAGCTACCAGTCATCAACTATAAGCTATCAGCTACTAGTCATCAACTGCCAGCTACCAGCTAGCTTATCAGCTATCAATTAGTTTTACCAAACATAGCTTATACCTCACTCTTATTCCTACAAATCATTTTCTTAGGTTTTTCCTGCTCTTTTCCATAATTTCATGTTCTATACAGAAATCACATCTAACTTATCTATTTATATTACCCTAATTCATTTATTTTATTTAAAAAAATCTAATATTTTATTATTTTAATCAAATAATAATTATATCACTAATAATAATGCTTATTTTATTACATGTCCAAGTTCTCTAATTTTATATAAAAAATATCACAAATGATTAATTATTCAAATAAAATTAATTATTTACCTCAACTCTAATATTCCTCTAAGTTCTATCATTAATTAAATTACCAAAATACCCTTAATTCCATAAAACACATGAATCACTCAATAAATAGAATAAATTAAATAATTTAAATGAAAATAATAGTTGACTAAAGTCAGGGTGTTACAGACTGTCTTATGATCATGTTGTATGAGGAAGGGGCATCTATCATGAGGTATCTCACATTTATCATTTTCACACTTTTTATATCTCAAACATGGTTTTTAGGTTGATGTAGCCTTTTACCTGTACATGTTTGCCACATAATCAAACTAGTGAACTTTGAAAATATTTGAGGTCGTTTATGTATATGAGGAGTCTCTCGAAGGCATCTTAATAGAGAATTCATACAAAACTTCCTTAATCAATGAACATTTGCTTAATTTCTCAATTGTCGCACTCTACAATTATGACCATGGGATCATTGTCATGGGGATGGATTCTTGCTCCATCCTTCCCTGAGAAGGTGATTTAAGAATCTAGAGTCTCTTGTGAGCTTAAGGTTGGTAGATGAACCTTCAAACGTCATGATCTAGAGAATATATCTCTTGCGGACAGAGTTGGATTCCCCACCCTTATGCTGTAGTTTTAAGGGTATGACACATGGGTCCGTCTTCATCTTCTCTAATTTGAAAGGTGATGTCAATAAGAATCAACAATCCAAGTTTGGATCTAATTATTGTATAACCTACATATGTTTTTCATTTATCAACAAAATTGAGTGTTACTTATTTCACCATACTGTTTGGTGATGATCATCAAAGTGTTTGGTGATTATGAAAAAAGTTCTTTAACTTGGGGTGATTAAGAGTCAACCATAGTATTTGGTGTTTGTTGTGTAAATAAAGAAGTGGCGTACTTTCTTATGTGTGTATTATAAGTTTGTTTGAGAGAAGTCTTTGTGTGATACTTGCAACATAATTTCTATACATAGACGAAAATCCTCTAAGGAGATAGAGGGACTGAATTAGCCTTCAATTGGACAAGGTGAACCAGAATAATTATGTTTGTATTCTTCTCTTCCATTAAATTTTACATTCTGCACTTTAAATTTTTGCGCAATAGTTCTTTGTTATTTTTGAACAAGTTACATAATCACAACATCGCTTTCGGCAAAATCATATATTCAGAAATTAGCGCTTAATGTTAGATAAATCTGGAAAAACTAATTCAACTTCCTATTAGGTTGCATCTAATATTTACATATGCAAAATTCATCACGTATCATTATCTCTTTCATGGAAGCGGTAGGTCTTTAGGCAAGGGATTCATTAAAGTGGCTGACCTTTAATATATTCTTGTAAGCTTCTACGAATATCTCTTGGTTTGGGTGGATGACCTTGACAGTAACCTCAATGAACCGAGTGAGATACTCCCTTAAGAATTTTGAAGGACCCTAACAAATATTGAACAAATTAATGGTTGGCATTTTCCTGTGTCTACTCACTGAGAATTCGTGGACCAACTTTTTTACCAGGTCCTGATAACTAGTGAATGATAGTCGCGACAGGCTCATATACCACCTCAGAGAAATGTCCTTGAAGGTGTTAGAGAGGATCTTGCACTTCAAAGAGTTTGAAGCTCCAATTATCACCATTTAGGTGTTAATGGAGGTAACATGCTCTTGGGGATCGCTTATTTCATCAAATTTGGCGTGCAAAGGCGACTTGAAACTTCCGGGGTACTAGCTCTTCCCCCCCCCCAAATCTCATCAGAGAGATGTTATAATCCAGTTTTCATGTTTCCTTAGTGGGATCTGTCACCCACTGGTGCTGCTAGAGATTAAGGATGTTATCCTCTAAAGTCTGGTTGTGGCGACCTAAGTCGTCCATAGTAGCACAAATCTTTGTTATGGCCTCATGGTGTCGCCAGAGCTGTTGTCGATTGAAGTCACTGCTCGCCTATTCACCATGTTGAAGAAGATTAAGAAGACATGCAATGAGTCGATCGTTGATTATGAAGGTGGTCCAAGTTCGTTTTACCAGGTTTACTAGTTTTACTAGGGCTTCCACTAGGGAAAAAACAACTAGAAAAATGTTAGTGTTACCGTTTTATGCCACAACCATAAGTAATGTTTCCTTATATTTACTGTATAACCATGTTTCATTAATTTGAACAACAAGTTTGTAGTATACAAAATCTCAAATGCATGGTTGAAACTCCCAGAATAACGAGTGGAAAACTTTGGTTCCATCAACACAAGTGTCATCACCTATATATGTCGATAATGTCTTCATTACACCCATTGTACCATGAACACATTTATCAAGTGCCAATAAATAATGTGGAAGTTCATTGTTTGAAGTATCTGAATTACCGTAAACAAGTTCATATGCCTTATTCCTCACGATCCATGCTTTTGTAAGAGTGAGTGTAATTGAATTGGAAAATAATATGGATGATTATGGTACTCACCTAGACTGACAGATCTTTGCCCACAAGAATGTTTTGTCATATTAATTGAGAGCTTAGTTTACGATAATCTTGTAAGAGATTGGTGGTATTACAACTATCGATAGAACATATATCCTAAGTATCACTTCTCTTTTTAAAGGTGTTCCTAAGAGAAAATTGCAAAGCTCGTTACAACAAATAACCACGCACCTCAGTGCATCTGAGTGTTATACATTATAATCAACAAAGTGTTTCATATGAAATTTTTCATGGCTAGCACACACTCAACTTTTGTGCGAACTCAGTATCCCATATTTAAGCCCACTTTCAACGGGATAACATTATTCCACATGTGCAACAAATTAAATTACATTAGTGCGACAATAAATCTGAAATTTGACTCATTCCGAGATATTATTTTTACATATGATGGCACAAGGACTTCTTCTTAGTCCCCTAAGAAGAACTAAGCGAGACCTCGACGATAATTAGCATTTCGTCGATGTGGAATCGATAATCACTTAGATGGACTACATCGAGAACGTAAAAAATTATAATGTAATTTTTAGATTTAATTATAACTTTGGTCCCCCTATTTTATCTGATTGACGAAATTGGTCCTTTATTTTAAATTTAAACAATTTTGATCTCCTTAATTTAAATTTAAACAACTTTAGTCTCCCTCTCATATTTGTGTACTTAAAACCAACAGTGTTTTTATTTTTTAAATGACAAGTTACTTGTGAAACATGACAAATCATCGTATATAAAGGGACCGAAATTGCTAAACTTTATAGATCAAAATATATGTTAAAAAACAAATATCTCATTGATTTTCTATGAAAAAACATGAGAGGAGGACCAAAGCTGTTTGAATTTAAAATAGCGAAACCAAAACTATTTGACTTTAAAATAGAGAAACTAATTTCGTGAATCAGATAAAATTGGGGGACTAAACTGTATTTTAACTTAATTTTTACTTATATTTGAATAATATTTTATTAATTTGCATAATTAATATTTTTACTAATTATTTTTATCTAACATTTTCTTATGAAAATTTAAATAATAATCATAATTAACAATAATTAAATAAGAATATTGTATTAAATAATAATTAAAAATAATAATTAATTAAAATTAAACAAATAAAACTATAATTAGGAGTACAAGGAGACACCACCAATAGTATTTGTGACACTGATAAAAAGTGTGTGAAAGTGCGATAATTTGAAATTTATGCTGAAAAGTTGGAAATTGTAACTATTTGAGTTGGGAAAGTGGAGCATTTGGGTCAAAATCTCGCATTTGACTATAAAGAAAAGTGGTAAATGATATACAGTTTATATAAAAATAAAATAAAATAACAAATGATACTATATAAAGCAAAAAAAATTACACCTTTATTTAGAACAAGGAGCTGAAACAGTTGCTATTTTTTCTAGTCAGCTTCAACGACAAGACAATAAATTAAGGATGGAAACATAGTAAAATATGATTCTTATGACTAATACTCTAATGCTACTATTACATTAGCACTGCCTGAGACAAAACAACCTTGTTGATGACAGTATTGTTGGTCAATGAAGGCTCAGGTTCCTCATCCTACAAATGAAAGAAAACAGTAAAATTGGCTACAGAGTTATAGTATTGACATTTAACTATAGTGATTATGTTATGATACCTTTTCTCTTCTTGAGAGACTGAATTTTTCTTGTAATTTGGAAACGGAACTTTCCCCGACTCAATACGCTTAACATCTTCAACAAGACGCTCATAGTGTTTCTTAACTTCCTCTGGAGTTTTGCTACCGACAGCATGAGCTACATTGTACCAACGATCTGGCGTGTCTTTGTCGTAAACAGCTAGAGCTCTTTCAAAGGCTTTGTTGTCCTTAACACTCCATGAGCTAGACGCTGACATTGAGCTAGATGCCATTTCTTGGTATGAGGAGTTTGAAGATAGAGACTTGAAGGAAATGGTAACAATATGTGATGTTTTAAATAAGCAGAAGTGGAAATATGAGATGGGGTTGTGCCAGTTGGCATCAAAATCTTGTTGCTAAAAATGAAATGGAATTATAATGATTTGTCTCTTTAGGAACCACAGAAAATAACTGGCTCAAGAAACTCAGCAACAGGAGCAAACAAGGAGAAGAGAATCAGTATCTTCATGACAGTAAAAAAATAGGTCCATTTGTAGATAAGAATATTGAACCAGCAAATAGGCAAAGTGGTCATATTCACGTTGATCTCACGCCAATGCATCACACAAGGGACTAATTTAACTATGAAATTTTGGGTTCTCATGTACTAATTTTGTTGGTAATTGATTAGAAATGAACTAATAATTGAATAACCCGCCAATAAGTTTCAATTCCGTTTGAGTTTTTAATTGGAAGTCTTTTGTTAGTCAATATAAAGGTTTCAATGGCATCTTCTTCACCTTTCACAGGGTTCTGGTCGATCTAAAGTTCATGTTGTAAATGCGTCTTAAAACCTTTGTTGATGAAGAGAAAGAAAATATATTTTGAAAATTGTATTTATTGTGAAAATCGGACGAAAAGACGAGAAAAAAATCGGCCAGTGAATAGTATCGTCAGTACGGTAAATAGTGTTATTCGTACGAATGAATAGTCACGTTCGTACGGTGAATAGTGTTGTCCGTACGGTGAATAGTGTTTTCGAGTTTTTTTCGATTCGGTCCATGAATCCATGTGATTTTGGACTTTGTTTGTTGGGTATTTGCTATTATAAATATGTATCTTTTATATGTTTAGTGTGTGACAATTTTTGAGTTTTCACCAATAAGAGAGACCAAGAGTTTGTTGAGTATTTACTATTATAAATATGTAACTCATCTGTAATCTTGGGAACCTGAAGTCGAAGGTTATTTTCTTATAACTCATGTGTAATCTCTTGTAACAACTTTCTGAATATAGTGAATTGGAGAGCTGCTATCTCCCCCAGAGTAGATCATTTGATCGAACTGGGTAAACAAACTTTTGATTTTTTCTTGCCTTATTCTGTTATATTATCTGTGTACGGATTATTATTGCTGAAGATCATTTATTTTGGTTGCTATTGTCCTTTGTCTTACAAATTGATATTTAATTTATTCGTAATTCACAACAAGATTCACAATAAGTAGTGCGATGAGCGTGGAGCAAAGAGATATTGTTGACAAGTGAGCACCATGGTTAGTAGATGACAGATCGATAAATTTTCCAGTAACAACGACTTTGGATTGTGGAAAATTAATATACAAGCAGTTTTAATTCAAGAGAAGTGTATCGATGCTTTGAAGAGTGAAACATTGATGCCTGCAGGGCTTACATAAGTACAGAAGACCGAGATGGTGGATAAGGCCAGAAGTGTCATTATCTTGTGCCTCAAGGATAAAGTTCTAAGAGAAGTCGCCAGGGAGCAAACTGCGGTTGCTATGTGGGCAAAACTTGAATAATTGTATATGACAAAGTCTTTGGCTCACAGGTTGTATATGAAACAACAACTTTATTCATTCCGAATGGTGGAGAACAAATCCATAGTTGAGCAGCTCATAGAATTTCACAAGATTATCGATGATCTTGAGAGTATTGAAGTGAAGATTGATTGAGGACAAGACTTTGCTCCTGTTGAGTTCATTACCCAGATCCTTTGAGCACTTTAAGGACGCCATTCTTTATGGTAAGAAAGATACTATTACTTTGGATGAAGTCCAGACGACAGTTAAATTTAAAGAATTTTTAAAGTCGAAAGATTTGAAGATTGAAGATAGTGATGAAGGCTTAAATGTGTCAAGAGGAGGAGGTGAGCGTAAATGGATGTCCAAATCAAAGAGGTTTGAAAAGTCAAAGGTAAAATATTTTAATTGTTAGAAAATCGGTCACTTTAAAAGGGATTGTCCTAAAAGAAAGGTCAATGAAGATTATGTTCAAGTTGTAGTTGCATTGGGTGAGGAAAATTATGAGGACGCTGAAGCACTAGTAGTATCGAGTTTGGAAACTGAAGATAGTTGGGTCATTGACTCAGGTTGCTCTTATCACATGTGCCCAAGAATATAATACTTTGAAACTTTGAAGATGGTGCAAGGTGGAGTAGTTTGCCTTGGTAATAATAAGGCATGCAAGGTTCATGGTGTTGGTACGGTCAGATTTAAAATGTTAAATGATCGTGAACTTCTTATTCACAATGTGAGGTATGTTCTAGAAATCAAGCGATTTTTTTTTATCTATAAGTATGTTTGATGATCTAAGCTATTGTACTAGAGTTGAACGTGGATTATTGAAAATTTCGCGTGATGAATTTATTATTGCTAAAGGGTCTAAAATATGTGGTCTATCTATTTTAGAAGGTTCAAATGTTATTATTCATTCATCGTTAACTAGTGGAGACTTTCATGAAAAAGAAGAGCTATGAGATTTGAGTTTAAGGCATTATGAATGCCTTGAGAAAGTTTCAGAGGATTACAATAAATTTTGCAAAAATCAAGGGATAAAAATGCATGTTACCACTGAGTTGTTATTGAGTTTTTGGGGAAGAGTTGAGGTTAAAACAACTTACTTGGTTGATAGAGAATTTCTTTAGAAGAAGAACAGTGAAAATTAAGGGAGAAACCTGGGAGAAACTATAACAGAGAAAACTCAGTTTGAGATGGAGTTTCCTACTATGGATGCTAGCAGTAGTGCGGAAACAGTTACAAAGATCTCTGATTATCATTTGACTCATGATAAGGTAAGGATGGTTATTGTAGCATCTCAAAGGGACAATTATGCTAGCCTTGGATATTATATTTTTAATGTGGCTGAAGGACTACAAAATAAAAGAAGAAAAACTTTTAGGGAGGCATTTGAAAACAGGTGTGTCGCGGTGAAAATCGGATACCAACCTATTGATTAGCTTGAACCTTAATTCATTACAACCGGTCTTTAATTTGTCCAAAGGAAGGGAAAAATATCGAATTACCCACAATGCAATGCAAATGCAAAGGCTAGAGTGTTATAGGTTTGGGGGTTGGTTAAACTAAGGGAAGGTGCTAGCATCCTAAATTTCTGTAGTACTCTACAAGAACCTCTTGTTTTATGTTGTTTATTGCTAATGGTTATCTGCTTAAGGATAAAAGACCTAGTGGTTTATTTCTAAATATACTCGCCAAGACGTCGCATCTTGTGCCTACATATCCTGACAAGAATGGAATCAGAGTATTTGTAGTTCCCCTAAAGGGTTTAAGGAGCTCTTTGACTGTGGTCAAAGTTCCTAAGGGATAAAGGGTAGTTGATTGATTGGTTCTAGGAGAAAAGACGAGTTGTCATCTTAAGGGAGATTACTCGAATGGGATCAAGGATCTAACTTGTAAAAGATAAAAGAAAAGGTCCTCCTTAAGGGTGAGGATCTAACTTAGAATGATCGACTTGAATGGGATCAAGGATCAAATGGGGGATTATGATGCAAATGAAATGCATGCGCACAAGCTTTACGTCATGCGCGGATTCTTCATTTGGACGTGCAATGCGATAAAATAAATTGCGGAAAGGATAAAAGACAAATAAATAAATCCATACAAGGATAAAAGTGCTAAAATTCAAGCCAAGTGTGGGAGTTGTGAATATGTGAATGGAATCGGAATGGGAACGCAAGCGTGCACGATTAATTAAGTTATGGCGAAGTTGAATTTTATGTGGATTGATTTTAGAAAATTGTTGAATTAAAAGGGAGATGTTTTTAAGGAGAAATTAGCTTAGTGAAATTAATTAAAGTTTTTATAAATTAATTAGGTTTTTTTTAGGTAGAAATAATTTTAAATAAAAGGTTTATTAAATAGAAAAAAGATTTTATTAAATATGTAGATATTTCTTTATTATTATTAATAATTATAAGTTATTTTTAAAGTTATGAAATAAGTCTTCTTATTATTAAATAAAATACACTTAGTTATTATTGTATTCTTTTAGGAGATCCTATTAAATACATAGTTATATTATAAAATATTTTTATTGAATTTAATGGTTAAATAGGTTTTTGTCATTTAAATGAATAGGTAACATAATTATTTATCTAAAATATGAAAAAAAGGGTTTTTTTATTTATATAATAATATGATATTAAAAAGTGCTGGTGAAATATTAAATTAATTAAGTGGATTACTTAATAAAAAGGGCTAATTAAAAAAGGTTATTAAAAAAAGATTTAATTATTGGTTATTAGTTTATATTTTTTATAAAAAAAAGATTGATTAAGCTTGATAATTAATTAAATTGATTACTTGGTTAATGAGTGGATTAAGGTGGTTAATGGTTAATTAACGGTTAGATTAAGGGATTAGATGATGGTGGGGTGAGTGATCTGGTGAGGTACGTGGGTGAGGGTTTACGGTGGAATGCAACGTGGGACGTTTGATCTGGTGATCAGGCGAGATGTGTGGTGATGCGATGAGGTGCACGGTGGTTGTGGTGTGTGTGCGTACGTGGAATTATATTACAATACAACAAAAATAAAAAATAAAAACCCTAAATCCCTAAATCTTCTTCCTCAACCGTCGATTGCTCTCCCTTCTCTCTCGCCACTTCCCTTCCCTGTTCTTTCATTTTCTTCTTCGATCGTCTCTTCGACTTCTTCTTCCCCTTTCGTGATTCCTTCTTCTTCTCCTCTAAATCTTCACATCTCCCTTTCCATGAAACCTAGCAAAAAAACACAAAACAAAATCAATCACGAAATAAAAATATCAGTTGAAGAAAACGTTACCCATGATGACGATAACTATGGCTTTGCTGATGACTTCGCGGGATTCCGACAGGGTTTGCGAAGTGGAGGGCAGTTGAAGTTCGCGGATGATGAGGTTTGACGGCGGAAGTGGCGATCTTCGGTAGGGTTTGGTCGTACGGTCAAAGCATGGGTTTGAGGGTGAAGATTCTTCCGGCGATGAATGTGGCGATGCTAAGA